GAACGAGTGATGACAAAGGAAAAAATATCATCAGGTTATCAAAACTTCACATCAGTCAAACAAAACATTACCAAAATATTATAATAATTATTACTAAATAACTAATAAAAGACTATATTATGAACATAAATTCCAAATGTACTCCCATAATCTTGTAATTGAGTTGACTTTTGCAGATTAGGAAGTGTACCAATTTAGAAGGAAAGTATATTTTAACAAAACTAGTGTTCAAATCACAAAACTTGAGGATTTAGCCCAAACATGAAAATGTAGTCAATAACCTATGAGTGTAAATAAAGATTCCATTCACTCTACAAGGCAGCTGACGCCATGCTGTAGGTGGGCTTACTGACCACTCACACATAACAACAGTCATTCAACTAAAGTGTGATTGGCTAATTAGCCACCAGAACTCAAAGAGAACATGCACATCCATATAAAAAAGACCAGCACAATTTTAATCAAAGAGAAACAGTGATAACAGAGGAAAAAATTATCATGAGGTTACCAAAAAATTCCAGATATCTTGTAATTGAGTTGACTTTTGCAGATTAGGAAGTGTACCAATTTAGAAGGAAAGTATATTTTAACAAAACTAGTGTTCAAATCACAAAACTTGAGGATTTAGCCCAAACATGAAAATGTAGTCAATAACCTATGAGTGTAAATAAAGATTCCATTCACTCTACAAGGCAGCTGACGCCATGCTGTAGGTGGGCTTACTGACCACTCACACATAACAACAGTCATTCAACTAAAGTGTGATTGGCTAATTAGCCACCGGAACATAAAGAGAACATGCGCATTCATATGAAAAAGGCAAGCAAAATTTCAATCAAAGAGGAAAAAGTGATGACAATGGAAAAAAATATCACAAGGTTACCAAAACTTCACATAAGTCAAATGAAACATTTGCCTAATAAAATAACTAATACAAGACTTTAGTAGGAACATAAATTCAAGATGTACTCCCATAATCTTATAATTTTGAGTAGACTGTTGCAGTTTCTGCAGTCTACAGTACATACAGAAGGCAAGTACATTTTAATAAAACTAGTGTTCAAATCACAAAAGTTGTGCATTTAGTTAGTAGCCTAAAACATGAAACTAAGGTTGCTAAAATACTTCTTTAGGTGAGTTATGGATCATTCGCACATAAAGACGGGCATTCAACTGATGCATGTGTAGCTAGTTAGTTTGAGTGCGAAAAACCAACTGACTCTACACCCAACCCATAATAACAAATGACTTGCATAAACACACAATCACAAAACAATGCTTCATTTCAGTAAAAAGCAAATATATTTTGGCAATTTTTACCAATGAAATCTAGTCAACAGGGTTAACTTACTAACCATTCACACAAATGACGGTCATTGAGTGGGTAAAAATTAGTCACAAATGGCGGACATTCACACAAATGACTAACCATTCATACATCTAAAATAGTCACATTTTTTTTTAACCTTTTTGTCATCTTTTTTTTTTAAATCATGTCAAAACTCTTCTGTGTATACAATCTAAAAAGTAATTTTTTTTTTTTTTGATAAAATTAAAAAAAAAAAAAAAAGAAGAAGTAAAGACTACAAGTATAATTTTCCATAAAATATTAGTAAATAGATTATTCCTAAACCAATCTAGTTGGCGACCATGATTTTCCTAAAGGCTTAGTCCCTAAGCCGAGGTCATGGTTCAACTCTTCTTTAAGAGAATGTAAATTGAGGGGGCAAGTACTTAGTTCTTTACAAAAAGGTGTGAGACTCCTCTTAAGAGAAGATAAATTGAGGGGGCAAGTACTTAGTACTTTATACTTTACAAAAATGTGTGAAGGCTAACTTTTATAGGTGTTAATCTAATAACTAATATTTCATTTTTACCCATCAAAAAAATAAAATAAATTAAATTATCCATAAGATCCTAATTATATAGCCCAAAAATTGTATGAAACAGTTAAATGAATATCAAGAAATGACTAATACAAATTTATGGGCGGGCCATAACTCCAATTTTGAGATTTTTAAGTTCATCAATCCAAACATTAAGGGTTTGTTTGAAAAGAAATTTTTAAGCTTGATTTTTGACTAATTTAATTTGGCTAAATTAGTTTTTTTGGGAAGAATTTTTTAAGTTTTCTGACTTTTTGACTTTTTTATGAGAAAAAAAAATTATAATTTAAATGTTATATTTTGTTTTATTTAATTTATTTTACCTTTTTATATTATTTTTTCTTTATCTCAACTCACTTACCAAACGGCAGCTAATGAACACGCCTTTTACACTGACAAAAATAGTTTTAGTTCTCCGAGCGTTCTTCTCACGATCCTACCAATCATCTACTTATAACAACAAACCTTCTATAAGCTTTTTATGTGTGTGTTTTGCAAACTTTAAATTCTCATAACTTGAATTTTGTTATCCAGTTTTGAATAACATTTACATTTTTGGATCTTTTATGAAATCTTAAAAACAAGCTTCATGTTGAATATGGAAATAATAAAAAAAAGGAGAAATTTATTCAAAATTCCTTCATTAGATTCTTGTTTAGTGAAAAGAACTAAACAGTTTATTTTGTTTCATAAATTCCCTAAGGAGGAGGCGCATAAGGATAAAGTAAAATATTTTTTTCCTTCGACAATATTACTAGAGTAACATGTTAGTATTAAACAGAGTAACATGTTACTATTTACATCAATTTTGACCGTAATAATTTTTTTTTTAAAAAAATTTGTAGTCAACATAGATCTTATTTGATAGATTTTGATTAGAGGATTCTAAAAATAATAATTTTATTAAAAATCGACATCTAGATAAAAAGTTATATTATTTTAAAATTTAATATTTTGATAATAGTAGTATGTGTTGGACTTTTTAACAAAAACTTTTTGTCCTTATCCTTAATGCATTAAAGTTTTATTATGAGGGGTTGGACCAAATCCCTCTAAAACAATAGGGCAGATTACCAACACCCCCTCAAGGTTTGACTAAAATGCGGATTCTCCCATGAGGATTGAGAAATTACATCCCACCCTCTGAGGTTTATATTTGCATAACAAATTGCTCCTAAGGTTTATATTTGCATAACAAATTGCCCCCTCATTTGTTATGCAAATATAGTCCTTGGGGGGCAATTTGTAATTTTCCAAACCTCAGGGGAAATCTGTATTTTTGTCAAATCTCGAGGGGTGTTGGTAATTTGCCAAAAAAAATATAAAATATAAAGAGGATAGATGGGTATATCTCAAGTTTATCTGTACTTTCAAATTAAAAATAAGGACAGATAGATCTATTTGGAGTCTATTTGTGCACTTTAAACCTATATGGGGTCATTGTGCACATTTAAACTTACAGAAAAAAATAAAATAAAATAACTGAAAACAAAGTTCTATCTGGAGTCTACCTATGCACTTTTAAATTAAAAAAGAACAGATAGGTCAATTTGGGATTTATTTGTTCACTTTTAAATATATCTGGCATATCTCCACTTTAAATTAAAAATCGGGAAAAAATAGTTCTATGTATGCACTTTAAAAAATAGTTCTATTTGTGCATTATATATGCCTATCTATGCATTACTTATGCTATCTGTGCACTATCCGGGCACTTTGAAATATTTTCTAAATTATAAAAATGGTAGACAAACATATATATGTCCGCTTTACAAATTAAGAAATGAAGTTTGATATTTATATGTTGCAGAAACTTCAATAGGCCATAATTTTGTGCTCATTAGTCCGTTTTTGAGACTTTTGTCTTTTGATTTTATGTATTTTTTGTGAAATCTATCCATCTGAAACGAACAGAAGTGGTTTAGCTTGCTCATTTTTTTCAATATATATATATATATATTTTGACTCTCAATTTATACTTTTTTTTTGCATAAACCATCAAACATTAGACCAAAAAATCATCTCATTTGGTCCATGGTGAGGAAAATTGCAATTCTATTGTATTGATGTATAGTTTTTATGATACTATACATAGTTGCATTGTCATGAATTTCCTTGGCCTTGACATGCTTCGAAATAGATCTATTCGTTATTTTTCTATAGGTCTATTTGTTGATTTTTTTTTCTTCATTTTTAATATTGACCTTTATTTAAAGATCTTGAAAAGATGAACGCAAAAATATTAATTTTATTAAAAATTGATATATGTAGTTAAAGTTATAACATTTTAAAATATTTTTAACACTACACATAAAAAGGCAAATATGTCAAAAAATTTCTTTGCCATAAAATGTTTAGACTTGCCAACCAGAAAGTGTTGTGCATGTCACCTTCTAACTAAGAAAAACCAAAATTTGGGTCTCCGTCACAAAACAATCAATGCGCGGGACTGTTGACCAATGTTTTCTACATTTATTCATTTTTCTTGTGATTGTTTAATAACTAATGTAAGTAAATTTCTCTTTTATAAAAATTTAATTTATTTTGTTTGATACACCATTTTCTAATCTCGTTTTGCTACACTAGTCTTATCTATAATATTTTTGACTTCTTCCTTGCATCTTATATATGGACATGAGTACAATAGGGGGTTGAGAATCTATGTAACGCTGAACAAAAGTTTTAGAATCATGGCTTGTCTTTTTTGACATCAAAGATCAAATAACTCAATTTTTTGATTAGCAAAATAAAATCTATAATAATAATAGAAAATACTCATACGCTCAAGAAATAACAAAAACTCTCTTATTGTGATTGTTAACATAATAACTCTTAATTTTGTTAGCTTCTATGCAACAATATTTATGTAGTGAGATCCTATTTCTGCATTATTTCAAGCTCATTTTTCTAGATTTGTGTAATAGATTTGTGAGCATTTTGGGTTTGCTCAATTCTAGTGATATCAAACCATATATGTATTAGGTGATATCTAGGTAGTATGTGGAAATAGATTTTATGAAATGCTTGCACATATGTTTTTGGCTAGAGATAGATCGCAAGTTTATCTCTTAAAAATGTATCATCTCATTAATTGTTGTTGTTGTGGACAAACAGATCTTTGCAAGCTTATCTCAATTCATGATCTGGTGAATGTATTCTACAATTTCTTTAAATAAAGGTAACTTCTGTTTACTATAATTTTCAATTCTTATTCTCAAACTTAAATGCACAGGTTCTAAACTATGTTTTTTATTTTTATTATTTATTTATTTATTAATTTTTTTAGATGGTGGTTCTAAACTATGTTTGATCAACTAATTGGATTAAAGACAAAATTCATTTTATATAGTCTGAAAGGCTCTATGTGGTTTTGGACTAAAATACAATTGTTAGTTTTTCCATCCAACGTAACAGAAGGTGTATCACACACATTATTTTTTAAAATAACTTGATTTTCTAAAAAAAACCCTAATATTATAATTTTTTAAATTGATGTAAAGGGCAAAATTGTAATTTCCCAAGTGATGTAACAATTTGACACTTTGACTCACGGCAGCTGATGCTATTTTTTTTTTATTTAATAAAAAGGGGTGAATAGTGGGGCTTTTTGGCTTATTTTTCATTTGAGGCTATAATAGCCTCCAATTGCTCTTCCCAAACAACGCCAATATAACAATCATGAATATCTCATATAATGGTTAATAAGAATTACACCTAATATGAATTAACCACTTTAATATTTAATATTCAATGTCATAAAATTATATCATGATATCAAATTTAAATCATGAAAAAATATAAATATCAACAATAAGTGTATATAATCAGATGAGGTAAAATCATAATTCTTTAATAGACCGAATGATTCAACAAATTATAAAATTGCTTTTAATCTATGCGATTTATCATAACGGCAAGCAATACATGCAATTTAATATCATATTATGATTATTATAAAAATTATTATCGCTAAAATTGATAATAAATCAAAACATGCATATGAACAGCCTGCACCTAACAAATCACAAAACAAAGTGAGTGGACTGTGCTCTTATTTAGGTTAGGACCTAACAGATCATGTTGTCTTGTGAGTGAGGGAGTCCATGATGTGCATACTTAGTGGAGTGCACATCACATGTCAACAGAGTTCAAACCTTACAAACAAAAGTATGTTTTTTGTGAATAATTATAATTATAATATAATAACAATATTCATAAATATATTATTATTCCAAGGTGTATTGATTCACAAACTAAAGCGTTGATACCACATGTAAGTATTAATAATACATGTAACTATAATAATAATGCGGAATTAAACTTAAAACTTAACAGGATCTTGAATTCAATACAACTCAAGAATAAAATGAGCATACCTTTATCAGCCATTGAATTAGAGAAGTTGAAAAAATACCCTTAATAGTTGAACCTTTAATTCTTGGCTCATCTTCTTTTTTCTGTCTTTCACTTCATTAGGATGACTATAAAACTTAGGCCATGTTTGTTTGGGTGGACATGAGCTTGGGATTGGACTAATAGTCCAATAAAATTATTAATCCGATGTTTGGTTAAACAATTGAAGTACGGACTAATTATTTTAAACTTGACTATTAGTTAAGATAGGATATATAATTTAATAAAATGATTATTTAATTACACTTTATTTTAGTGAACCAAATATAACTTGGTAACTTTTAATTTTAGCCAAAAAAATTAAAAAGTGACTATAAATTATTACATTATTTTTTTTACTTTTTTTACATATTTTTTTTATAAATAAAATAATCTGTTCCGAAACGAGACTTAAATAGAAGTATTTGAAGACTAGATGGTCAAGTTTTGGACTCATAGGTCCATCATAATAAACTCCACATCCAGGATTCAAGTCGTTGATCCTTTAGACATTTATGTGCAAATCATATCATATTTGAAAAAAAAAATGTTATTGAATCGATAAGCGCGTAACTATATAATTCTCAGTGTATTCTCTCTAAAAGTAGATAATTAATATGATTTTGAAAATATACGTTCATTTTTTTAAAGAAAAATCTATTAAAATTATATGACTATATATGTTTATTTGATCAACATGATTTTTTCAATGATGATCTACACATTTACCTAAAATTAAATGATTTGGATCATCCAAATAGAATTCGTAGAGGGCTCACAAACCCAAAATTAGATGAGTATAAATGACTAGAGACAAGCCAACTTTACAAGGATATGTATGTAGGTATATTTTGAACATTTATTTTATCTTGTAATGTAATATTCTATCATAAAATGTTATTAACATTTAGGAATGTTTTTCAAATTAAATAAATTTCAAGGTTAAACTGGATTTTTTTATTACTCATTCACATGAGAGATTAAAAATTTTCATCATTATAAAATGTAATTTTTTTTTTCCAAATATGATTAAAGATTAGAATATTCAAAATTTTAATTTGGGTATAGGGGCAACCACATATCTCACATTCACAGACAAAGCTAAAATGCCATTTGTTATTTTCTCTATAGGTGGGATTTTTTTTTTTTTTTTAACATATGCGGGAGATAACCTTTCATTAACTAAATTGAAATGAAAAAAAGTAATTATATATAATTTTTTTTAAAGTTTGACACATTTTGCAAATCATGTGGCTTATTTGATCAACCAAGTTAGTTGATGGTGAGATATTAAACTCTTTGAACCAATTTGATGTAACACCACAGCTAGTTAGCCAAGTGATTATATAATACCACTTTATGGTGTGAAGATCTTAATTTCCTCTGTTATTCCTTCCTCCACTTAACTCCACCAACTCCAGCTAATAACTTGTGATACATGCGCGTGCGAAAAAAAAAAAAAAAAAAAAAAAAAAAAAAAAAAATAAGTTGATGGCATTCCTTATTTAAATTTCATTGTATTTCAATGGAACATATTTTGGAACTTTCTGTTTTGTCTATTTTCTTTATGATTATACAGTTAATTGTAAATTATAACAGAAGAGAAATTAAACAAAAGAGTTTATTCAAAGTTCAAGTTTGGTCATGGTGTAACATTAAGCCTTTTTATTTTTTATTTTTATGAAGTTTTGTTAACACGAAACACATATTTAAAACACATGTTAAGAATATTTTAAAAAACAAATACGTTCTTTAATATATATGCTTTTTTTGGCATAATATACAGTTTTTTTTTTTTTTTTTTTTTTATACTTCTAAAATATCAAAATCCTTTATTATATTATGCATATATTAGGAAATTGTAGTATTTTAACTTATGTGTCATCATTTTAAAACATTAAACAAATGCAAACTTCATTGTGTATATTCTCCTAGGGATAGTAGTCCTTATATTTTTATTTTTGTATTTAGTCTTTATAATTTCAATTGATTCGATTTTAATCCTGAATTTATGAGGTTGCTTCAATTTACTCCAATTGAATACAATTGTTCGCATTTTTTAATTAAAAATACGCACGAGTGGTATGTGTTATGATTTTAAGAGCAAAATTATAAATTTTTTCAACTTAGTGAGTTAATCTCAACAAATTCAGTGATACTTTTAAGTCAAAAACATTAACGGTATTATCAATTGGATCAAATTAACACTAAATTTAAAATTTAGGGTCAAAATTAAGCTAATTAAAAGTGTAGAGACTAAGATAAAACCAAAAAAAATAAGGGTAGAGATTACCGGTATAATTTTTCATAAAATATTAGCCAAATGAATCATTCATAAACCAATTTAGTTGGCCATCATGATTTTTTTAAGGGCTTAGTCTCTCGGAGGAGCCATTGGGTGCGTTACAAAGGGTGAGAAGGCTAATTTCTATAAGTATTAATTTAACAATTAATAACTCACTTTTGCTGATAAAAACAAAATAAATAAATAAATTATACATAAGATCCTAATTTTATAACCAAAAAATTGTATGAAGTAGTTAAATGAATATCAAGAAATGATTGATACAAATTTAAGAGCGGGCCATAACTCCAATTTCAATAGTTTTAAGTCCATCAATCCAAGCACTAAATGTTGGTTTGGAAATTTTTTAATTTTTTAGTTAATTTTGAAATTAATTTTTTTTGTTCTTTTGTTTTTTATGAGAAAAAAATAAAATAATTATAATTTGAATGTGAAATTTTATTTCATCGATTTATTTAAACTATTTTTTTTTTTTTGTGTGTACTTTTTGAAATCTCAACTCACTTTCAATTTACGTGTCAAACGGCAGCTAATGAACACGCCTTCACACTGACGAAAATATTTTTAGTTCTCCAAGCGTTCTTCTCATGATCCTACTAATCATCTCCTTATAACAACAAACTTTCTGGAAGCTTTTTATGTGTGTTTTGCAAATTTTAATTTCTCATAACTTGAATTTTGTTATCCAGTTATGAATAACATTTATATTTCTGGATTCGCTTTTATGAAATCTTTAAAACAAGCTCCATGTTGAAGATGGAAATAAAAAAATATAAAATATAAAAGGATAGATGGGTATATCTCAAGTTTATCTGTGCACTTTCAAATTAAAAATAAGGACAGGTAGATATATTTGGAGTCTATTTGTGCACTTTATTTGTGCACATTTAAATTTAACTACAAAAAAAAAAAAAAGCGCTCAAAAACAAATAGTTCTAAGAGTCTATCTATGCACTTTTAAATTAAAGAAGGGGGATAGATAGGTCTATTTGGGATTTATTTGTTCATTTTAAACGTTTCTGGTATATTTTCCACTTTAATTAAAATTCGGGAAAAAATAGTTCTATGTATGCGTTTTAAATTGAACAAATTGGGACAGGGTCTATCTGGCATCCATCTGTGAACTTTTAAATTAAAAATGGAAACAAATAGGTCTGTATGCGATATATCTATGCACTTTTAAAGTGAAAAATGTGAACAAATAGGTTTGTCTACTAGCTATTGTGCATTATATATGCCTATCTATGTTTGAAATATTTTTTAAATTAAAAAAATTGTAGACAAACATATATATGTTTGCTTTACAAATTAAGAAATGGAGTTTGATTTTTATATGTTGCAGAAACTTCAATAGGCCATAATTTTGTGCTCATTAGTCCGTTTTTGAGTTTTTTGTTTTTTGATTTTATGTATTTTTTGTGAAATCTATCCCTCAGAAACAAACAGAGGTGGTTTCGCTTACTTATTTTTTTCCAAATATA